TAAATAAATGAAATAAACTCGAGGCCCTGAAGCAGCAGAAGGCAAAGTCCGAAAAGAAATAGCGCGTGCGCGCTTAACGTCCTCCCGCTGCTGCAGTCCTGCTGCTGCTGTTGCTGCGGTGCTGCTTCTGCTGCTTCTGCTGCTGTCCCAGTGCGTCTTGTGCTGCCTTTCTTATCTGCATGCCGGCTTCTCATTAACACTTGTAAGTATCTGCATGTGAGCATTTATTAAAAGTATAAATCCTCTACTTGCATTTGTTGCATTTACATAGGTGTATGTACACCTAATCACATATATTTGACTTCAAATATAATTTTAAGGCTACTTCTGTTGTACATACACCTGCGCAGGCACTTGTGCGCATGCATATGCATGCCTTCACACTTTTATTTTCTTTTGAAAATATTTGAAGCTTTTTAAATGTAGTTCTAAATAAATAAATGAATCGAAATGTGTATAATTCCTAATATACTTCTTTTGTGTCCTCCTGCTTCTTTCTCAGCTAGCCACCGCCGGTTTAACGAAGGCTAGCTAGCCAGCTAGCTGGCAGCTAGTCATTCAACTAGGTAGCTGCCAGCTAGCCACCAAGCTAGCTAGCTAGCTAGCTAGCTAGCTAGCTATTCAGCTAGCTAGCTGCCAGCGAGCCATCCATCTGGCTACCGAGCTGGCCACTCAGCTAGCCATCCAAGTGCCCATTTACCTAGCTGTCCAGCTAGCTGTGCAGCTACCTGTGTAGCTAGCTGGCAGCTAGCTGGAAGCTAGCTGCACAGCTAGTTGTCAAGCTAGCTGAGTGGCTCTCTCCCTGAGAGCCTTGAGGCCCTGGAGCTCTCAAGTAACTCCTGAGCTGTTCTCAAATATCTTTTTTCTTTATTCTTTTAATGAATTAATTCTTTTATTTTCTTTCTTCTCTTTTTTTGCTGCTGTCCCACAAAGAAAGTAGCCAAAGCTACACTCCACAGGCAAAGGACATACAGTCTAGCTGCACAAGGGGGCCCCTAGGGGGCCCCCAAAGGGCCCGCAGAGGGTTCCTGGGGGGCCTCTAAGGGGCCCCTAAAGGGCCCCTAAAGGGCCTCTAAAGGGCTTCTAGAGGGCCCCCAAAGGGCCCCAAGAGGAGTTTAAAAGACTTCTGAAAGGCCTAACGGGGGCCCCTAAAGGGCCCCTAAAAGGCGCCTAAAGGGCACCTAAAAGGCCCCCAGGAAGGGCCCCTAAAGGGCCTCTGAAGGGCCTCTAAAGGGCCTCTAAAGAAGTCCCCAGAGGTGACTGCTGTGGGTTTGAAGTTGTGCTTCCTTTTGTGGCCACTGCTGCAGCTTTAACCCCCCTGGCAACGCCCAAACCCTAGCTGTCAAACCCCAAACCCTAAACCCTAAACACTATTCCTAAACCCTCGAGGTAAACCCTAAACCCCAGAGCCCTGAAGTCAGGGAGCAGTGGCGCCCCAGTGGTCGAAACGCCAGGCGACCACTTCTTTTTCTCGTGTGTACTTGGACAACTGCCACTGAAGGCTGCTGCTGCAGCTGCTGCTGCTGCTGCTGCTGCTGCTGCTGCTGCAGCCCCGGTGGGCGGCCGCCGCTCGCCACATCCGACCCCCAAGTGGGGCGAGAGCAGCAGGGGGGCCCTAGGGGCCCCCTTTTGCTGCTTTTAGTGGCACAGAGAAATATAAATATTTATTTTTCTTTTTCTTTGTTATATTGTGGCACTAAAAGTACTACTATTTGCACTGGCTCTGAAGCAATTGATGGCGGCTTGAACAGCAATTGTCTTTCGCGGAAAAAATTGGCTCATTAGACACTGAGTGCAGCAAAACGCTGGAAAGTCTACACTGAAGCAGCTGCATACACTTAGCTAGACCTGCAGAAAGACTTAATTTTCAAAATTATGGAAATATAAATGCATTTCGGATATTAATATCAATTAATTTAAATAAATTAATGCAAATTTTCCCGAGGATTGGGCCTAATGGTGGCGGTGGCATGCACACAGTGCGCTGAGCACGAGGTGACCCTGGGGCTGTGCTGGGGAGATCGTCTTGGGGCGCTTGCTGGCAATGTTTTGCCATTTTTCTTCAATTAAATGTTATTTGTAAAATATATTTACTAATTTAATTGAAGGAAAAAAACAAAAAAATGAAAGTTTCACTCGATAACCCCCTAAAACATGCACACGCCTAGAGAGCGCCAGGCCCCAGCAAGCCCCGGGGGTTTCGGGCTGGTGGGACCAGGCCCGTCATGAAACTGCAATTATGTGCAGTACATAATAGAGTAATTAATAATAAAAGGATTTATTTGAATAAACTGAAACTTCATTTTCTTTTTTATAAAACTAGTTGCCCAAAGGGTTGGGCGTGCCTCGCGGGCTGCGCGAGCTTTTCTCTGAGGTGTACAGACACCTCGCCGCGCGCGCCGTAGACTGCCTGCAGTTACTGCAGCATTATTTATTCTTTTCCTCTTTTTCTTTTGATTTAAAATTCAATTTTTTTCAACTTTATATTCCGCTGCTGCAAATGGAGCTCTCAGGCCCCAGCAACGCGAAGAGGGGGGGGCTGCTGCGGGTCAGCCAAGACCCCAACATGTACCGCACCAGCTACAACGACATGTGTCAGGGGGTAGGAAGGGCATTTAGGCCCAAAATTCAAAATAATTCCCTTTAAATAACTCCCAGCTAGCCACAGCTAGCCACCGCTAGCCACCGCTAGCCACAGCTAGCAACAGCTAGCCACAGCTAGCTCCCTAGCCCGCTAGCTAGCCAAATCTGGCTGAAAAAGGAGCAGCAGAGGAGTTATTTTCAGCAAATTTACTTTTATTCGCATTCCCCACCAACTCTGTAGCCCAGTCTTTTCCTGCTAGCTAGCCATGTGCCTTTTGCTGCGTTTAATCTTTTAGTTCATTTAAATAAATCTTTGCAGCTATCCAACGCAGCCCCTAGTGCTTCTTGGGGGCGCTCTCGCCTGTGGAGCGCTGGCTAGCCGCTGCAGCTAGCCGCTGCACCCAGCTGCTGCACCTAGCTGCTGCAGCTAGCTGCTGCCCCTAGCTGCGGCGCCTAGCTGCTGCAGCTAGCTGCTGCCCCTAGCTGCTACAGCTAGCTGCTGCCCCTAGCTGCTGCAGCTAGCCGCTGCACCCAGCTGCTGCACCTAGCTGCTGCGCTTAGCTGCTGCGCCTAGCCACTGCACCCAGCTGCCAATCAGCTAGCCGCTGCAGCTAGCTGCAGCAGCTAGTCGTTGCAGCGAGCTGTTGCAACTAGCTGCCGCTGCAGCGAGCTGCTGCAACTAGCTGCTGCAGCTGCTGCAGCTAGCTGCCGAGGTGCTGGGAGTTTGCTGTTTGCTGCTGCAGCGGGAAGTGAGTGTGCAGAGCGACTTCCCTTCGGGCTACGGGGGCCACGTGCCTGTGGTGGGGCATCAGCTGCTGTTTAAAAACTGCAAAGAAGTTTTGGAAATAAAAAAAAGAGAAAAAGATCCTTCAAGAGATTCTTTCGGGGGCTTCGAGGCCAACAAAATGGGCTACCCCTACCTCACAAAAGGAGCCAAGTGCGCGCTCTAACAAGCTGCTGCTGCTGCTGCTGTTCCTGCTGCTGCTGCTGTTGCTGCTGCTGCTGTTGCTGCTGCTGCTGCTGTTGTTGCTGCTGCTGCTGTTGCTGCTGCTTCTGCTGTTGCTGCTGCTGCTGCTGTTGCTGCTGCTGCTGTTGCTGCTGATGCAGTGGCACAGAGTAGCGGGAGCCCCACAATTTCGGGCTGTACAGACACCTAAAGAACCCCACAAAGCACCTCTTTGCTGCAGACAGATTTAGAAAATAAAAGAGATAAAAGGAAAACAAAAAAAGACAAAAACAAAAATAAAAAAGAATTGAAGCAGCAGAACAGAAGACACAGATACCCCACAGCAACCAGAAATGCCACTAAAGCCCTAGAAGCATTTAAGTATAGCGAAAGCCTTTTAAGAATTCAAGTGTCTTCATTTAATTAATTGATTAATTTATTTGTTTGCTATCAATTAATTAACTAATTAATTAGTTAATTAATTAATTAATAATTAATTAGTTAATTCATTAATTAATTAGTTTACTAATTAAATTAGTTAAAGGCCTGCTCTTTCGCATCTGCGCATAACAGCAACAAAACACTTCACAGTTAAAATCCGAAAAGCCCAAAAAGCAATCAAACAAAAGCAGATAAAAGCCAATAAACAAATAAACAACAAATGAACAATAAATAAACAATAAAAAAACAAAAGTAGGCAATAAATAGGCAAAAAGTGGTTCAAAAATTGGCAAAAATAATGAAAAAGAGCAAAAACAAACCCAATTAAATGACAAGTTCGCTCTGTCTCCCGCAGGCCGAAAGTCCCAGGCCCTTCCGCCAGATTCTTTCCCCCCACTTTAGTAGTTCCTCCGTGGGCCCTCGACATTCCCCAAAAGGGGCACGAGACCCTTTTCAACGGCCCCATCTAGCGGCCAATCAGCCCCAAAAATCGCCTTTTCAGGGCCCCCAGGGGCCCCCAGGGGGCCCCCAGGGGCCCCCGAGGGGCCCGCTGGGGGCCCCCCAGGGGGGGGCCCTTTGTAAGGCCCGCAGGGGCCCCCTAAGCGCTTAAGGGGGCCCCCTGGGGCCCCACAGGGACGGACCCTCCTGGAGCACTACAGGGGCCTCCCAGGCCCCCGCAGGGGCCCCCCTGGGGCCCCAGAAGGGCCTCGCAGGTGCCTTTGGGAAATTCTGGCTTTTGGGGTCTTTGTGGGGCCCCAAAGAAGAGCCACAGGGGCCCCTAATGGAGTCCCTTGTGAGCCCGAGAGGGGCGCCTGTGGCTCCAGTTGTGCGGGCCCCTGTGGGGCCCTAAAAGGATCTAGAGGGGGCCCCTTGAGGCCCTGGTTTGAAGAGTTTTTTGGGGCCCCTGTGGGCGCCTTTGCAAGCACCGAGGCCCTTCTGGGGCCCCCAAATTCAGAACAGCAATTAAGAAGGACTTTCGGGGTCTCAGGGGCCCCCGCTGCTGCCCTGAGAGGTCCATGGGAGGGGTTCCCTGTAGAGCCAACTAGGGGGCCCCACAGAGGCTCCACAGGGGCCCCCAGGGCCTCCTACAGAGGCCCCACAGAGACTCCACAGGGGCCCCACAGGGGCCCCATGTTGGCCCTACAGGGACCCCATAGAGGCCCCACAGGGGCCCCTAGGGACACCAAAGGGGCCCCACAGGGGCCCCACAGGGGCCCCACAGGGGCCTCAGTTAGGGGCCCCTGGGGCTCTAAAGGGCAAAGGCCTAGGGGCCCCCAAAGGGCCCAGGGGCCCCTCAAGAACCCAGGGGCCCCTCAAAAACCCAGGGGCCCCTCAGGGGCCCCCCAGGGGCCCCTGGGTTTGTTTTATTGCATTTCTTTAAAGCGACAAAAATATATGTTGAGGCTCTCAGCTTTTGTTGGCCTTTTAACGTTTAGTCTTTGCTTGGATTCCTGCTGTCTTTTACATTTTCTGACTATTGCTGCTGCTGCTGCTGCTGCTGCTGCGGTTGCTGCTGCTGTTGCTGCTGCTGCTGCTGCCGGTGATGCTGTTATGCGGCGTTTCCTTCCTAAGCCAGCTGCTGCGAGCTCTACTTTAAATCCACTTTCATTTTTATATATGTATATAAATACATTTATGTATATATATATATATATCTATACATTTATTATATGGATATATAATATGTAAATATATAATATATATGTACCCGTACAACCTTACACATTTTTACATTTAAATAATATTTATTTATAAAAGCCTCCACTGATTTTATTTGTCTTTCTTTTAAGTTCAAAAGGCCCAAAGAAAAACTCACAGGGGCCCCCTAGCCACTTCCCGAGGGGCCCCGAGTGACCCCTATAAGACCCAGTGGGCCCCCAAGAAGTACCTGGGGGCCTGTGGGGCCCCTTCTAAGGCCCTTGTGGGGCCCCTTTTGGGACCCCAGTGAGGCCCCCAAAAGGGACCCGACAGGGCCCCAGTGGGGCCCCTGTGGGGCCCCCTACGGGGACTCTGGACCCCCTGTGGGTCCCCTGGGGGCCCCTCTGGGGCCCCAGGGCCCCCCTTTGGGAAAGATGGGGGGCCCCCTGTTGCATGCACCCAAATAAGTATAGGGTACTAACAGTGGTGGACTATATATGTTTATGGAATATATATATATATATATACATATACATGACATATATATATGTATATATGCATATGTATGTCTATATGTTTATACATATAGGTATATATTTACTTGTATATATACTTACGTATATTTGTTTGTTTTTATAGCCCAGGCGCAAGTAATTCGTATGTTCTCTATGCATTATCTATACATATATATAGATAGATATGTGTATATATATATATACATATACATATATACACATACACATTTATATATGTGCATATATTTACATATATACATATATATATGTATATATTTGTATATACCTATATCTATATATGTGTATATATATATATATATATTTACATGTATATATATATACAGTGGGGAGAGTCGGCTTGAGTGTTAAGTACAGGCGAATAAGACTTCTGCCTCCAGCCCAATTTTGAATTTTGTTTAAAATGCATTTTCCTTTTTATTTGCATGCGGGCCTTTATGTATATATACATATATATTATATATATACATATATATATATACATATATATACATACATATGTATATATACATATATATATACATAGTCCATATGCATGCATGCTTTAAACTAGGAAATGGCCAGCAGGCTTCGCTGTAGCAGCCAACGAAGCAGCAGCAGCAAACGCAGCAGCAGCAGCAAAGGCAGCAGCAGCAAAAGCACCAGCAGTAACGGCAGCAGTAAAGGCAGTAGCAGCAAAGGCGGCAGCAGCAAACGTCACAAACGTCTTAGCCACAGAGTCTGCAGAGCCCTTTCCAAAAAAAGCCCCAAATGGCTGCTGCTGCTGCTGCTGCTTCACTGCGCCGCTGCAGCCATGCCTCGCGCTGCAAGGCCTGGGATTGGGGGGCCCCCCAAGGGGGCCCCCAACCTGTTGGGGGGCCCCCACATCTTGGGCCTTCATAACGGAATGCCTTAGGGCCCCTTAGAGGCCCCTGG